ATCTCTTAGGTCTCTAGGGCTAGGGTCCATCTTGTGTATTGCGACTGATGTCTTTTTTTAGTGTCCAGGTCTATTAGGTTTAAGGTTAACTTAAGAAGGAGAAGGGTCCGGATCTTGGGTGTTGGGTCGGGTCGACCCGGTCTGGGATGGGTTGGGGGGAAAATTTGGGCTTCAAAAATATTTGGCCCAACTGAATTTAAAAATTAGCCCTTTTCAATTTCCTTTTCTTTTTATTTTCTTTTCTTTCTTTAATTAATTAAAAACCTATATTAAATTCCTAAATTAATTCAAATTGCAAAATTAAGCTAATTATCTAACTATTATATTTATAAAAATTAGTTGATCCTAAATTAAAAGAGAAAACTTAATAATCCAAAATTTAAAGCTAAGAATGCAAAAATGAGCTATTTTTGTAATTTTAACTTTTAATAAATCAATCAATTAATTAATTAATCTTAAAATGTGAACACAAAATCTAAATGCAATGCATTGTATTTTTGGTATTTTTTCATGATTTTAATAAAAGTAAGCATGCACAGAAATGCAAACATTTAACAAAAATCCTATAAAATTGCAAACAATTGGGGAAAAATCTATTTTTTTAATTTATAGGAGTATTTCACATAGAGCAAAAATTATGTGCTCATAGCTGCCCCTCTTTGCTCATAAACACAAAAAGTTTTGGGCAAAGATAAATTGAGCGGATACGAGCGATTTTTGCCCATTTGGATACTCCGTGGGAAGCATTTTTGAAAGATCTGACCGAACCTTGCTTCCGAGATTGCCTACATATCCTTGTCTATAACGGAATCGGGTCAGTGTAGTTCGGGAATATAAGGAAGAGATGAGTTAGAGAGTCAAGTGAGGTGTCGTTCCATCGAGGTTCCAGTCTGCGGTCCTGTTATTACATCAAAATCAAAAATGAAAAAGACTAAACTAATCCTGTCAACTATGAATTACAAGATTCCTATCTATAAGTCTTCTGAAGCTTGATCTTTAGTCTTGAAGGGCTCTTCATGCAGACTTTAGATTTGAACCTTGACGCTTGCTAGCCGCAGGAGCTAGTTCATTCTTCGTCGGATCAAGACCGAACATGCAATGCTCGTGATTTCAGCCATGTCTTGAGTAACTCACATCTTTCATTTGCTTCTGCATTTGGATTCACTTCCCTCTTTTTTTCTTTTTTTTTGGATTGAGACTTCTTCTTTGGTCATTTTGGATTGTTGACCCGCATTCTTGCCACGAGCTTCTGCTACTTCTCACTTAAATTAAATTCTGAAATGACTTCTCTGGTTCTCCAGGTGGGTTCCTGCTACTGACTTGAAACTTGAAATAATTCCAAAATGAATTCCCTTGTTCTTCAGGTGGGTGCCTGCAATCAAAACAACAAAACAAGCAAAATTTTCTGCCCCAGTTTGCAGTCGGAAGATTTGTGAGTTATTAGCAAAATTGTAAACCACTTGTGCTACTGATGCAATGATTAAAGTAGACTAAAGACTCGACTAGGATGTGCATCTCCTGTGAGTAAAACCAAGAAACTTTGACTAGCAAATGTGTCTACTAAAAATAAAACCTGAATAACCTAGATTAGGAAGTGCATCTCCTAGGGGTGAAATCTCTATTTAGGAAGCACGTCTCCTAAAAGTGTATCCTGAAAAACCTTCACTAGGAAGCTCGTCTCCTAGGGGTGAAACTTGAATGAACCAACTAGGAATTGTGTCTCCTATGGGTAAAATCTCAATTTTAGGAAGTGCGTCTCCTAAAAAGAAAATATAACCTGAAAAACCTAGACTAGAAAGTGTGTCTCCTAAGGGTGAAATCTCAATTTAGGAAGTGCGTCTGCTAAAAGTATATCCTGAAGAACCAAGACTAGGAAGTGCGTCTCCTAGGGGTGAAACTTCAATGACTCAAACTAGGAAGTGTGTCTCCTATGAATGAACTTAAATGAACCAAATAGGAAGTGTGTCTCCTATGAATGAACTTAAATGAACCAAATAGGAAGTGTGTCTCCTAGTGGTAAAATCTCAATTTAGGAAGTGTCACACATCCTTTTTACTACCTCTGGAAGGGATATAAGGGAGTTTTATCCAATTTAAGTGACAATCGAAATGGGATTGTTTAAATTAAAATCAGAATCGCCACTTGGGATAATTTATGGTGTCCCAAGTCACCAGTTTAAAATCCTGAATCGAGAAAGTTGACTCTTATTTATGGTCTACGAAGACAGAAATCCGGGTAAGAAATTTCGTTAAACCGGGAGAAGGTGTTAGGCATTCCTGGGTTCCGTGGTTTTTGCACGGTCGCTTTAATCCTACTTGGCTTAATCAAATTGTCTAATTACCTATTTTAGAAGCTATGTGCATTTCCCTTTTTAATTAAGAAATTATCTTAAAATAGGTCACGCGCACATGTACCCATTTGTTTGGCGCGTCAAGAATTATGTCACGCGTACGTGTCCACAATTAATAATGATTTATTATTATTAAGAAAGTTTGGGCCAAAGTTGCATGAATGCATACTCCAGTTTTGTTTCTAGAATCGCAATCATGTCACGCGGACGTGTCCATGACCACGAAAGTATATTAAACGCGCCTAAAGCAAACTACGAACATTTGTCATTTTTATATCTAAGTTATGAAATTAATACGAGGGCAATGAATGACTAAATTGTGGATGGCACACCTCGGACTATATAAACTAAAGTATATTAGTGGCCTATTAAAATAATTTTATTATCAAGAAGGATTTGATCGAAGTTGCGCGAACGCATACTCCGAATTGGTTTTTAGAATAATAATTATGTTACGCAAACGTATACATAATCACGATATTATTTTAACGTGCCTCAAAGCTTTTCTATGAACATTCATTCTTAACAAATAATGTAACATTTGTGAGGGCCATGGGTGATTCAATTGAATGGCACATCTCAATCTATTGGTAGTAGCCAATACTTAATTTAAAAGAATAAGTTTAAGATGTCAGGTTCACTATAGATTTAGGCTCAAATTATCCTTACTAATTACAAACCCATGTTGGATAAAAGCAGGCATTTTAATCACTTAAAAAGTGTTTGGGCCAGCGATAGGCCCAATGTTATTTGGATTTTCGGAAGAGTCACAACAAGGGGCAGGGCGTGATACCAAGCCCAACATTAAACAAGAATGGCCACACAGTACTTTAAAGAAAACCCCTTTCACTATGTCAATTACAAAACTAATGAATTAAAGCCTGCTGGATATAATAGGGCTCCAAATTGGACCCGGGGAGTGACAAGGTCAGAAACAAGCATGAAAGGCCCATTCCCTAGTAGGCTGACCCGTATTGGCCCAAACCAAGCCCTGTCCCCTTAAGAAAATCCAGGAAAAAACATAAGACAAGAACTAACAAGCATCACCAGATTATGAATTCAGATTTTACACCTGTTTACAAGCAATTGTAAAATGAATATGGATCCAAAGCTACTCTTCACCACATGCTAACCCTTGCACTAACGGACTACTCTAACAATGCTAAAGCTATGTAATTCCAACAGTCAACTAACCCTGCTCAAATTGAACGACTAAGCTATAGGGTTTCAAACAACCGCCATTAACATGATATCCAAATTACCTACTTTAAATATGAAAGAAAAATACAGAAATCAACTACATGATCCAACCAAGTTAATAGTTTATGAAACTGAATTAACATGATTGAAATACAGAAATCAACTACATGATTCAACAGGTGGGTGCATGATTGCTGAACCTGGAACTGTCCCCTTCTTGCGACTGCTTTTCTTTGAACTGCCTTCCCTAGTTTCTCCAGGTGGGTGCCTGATTGCTTGAACACGAACTGCTTTCTATTCTTGAAACTCGTGTTGTCCTCCCTGGTTCTTCAGGTAGGCACCTGATTTCAACAAAAGCAAACAAAACAAAAGAAATTTTGTGCCCCAGTTTGATATTGGGAACATCTGTGAGTGTTAACCGATGCTTGTTATCAGAAAATCTCAAAGAATTTAAAATCTAGATCCCATTATTCAGGAGGGTCCTAAAAACTCCCGATTAAATATCATCTTAAGAATGGCAGCTTTAAAGCTAAACTATACTTCCTAAAGGTATGACTTCTGCTAAATCTTATTATCTATGAAGGTCCTAAAACGTAACGCCATTATCCAGGAGCGTCCTGAGAATTTCCAATTGAGTCTTGTCCTAAGAATGAAAACTTCAAAACCAACTTATATTTCCTCAAAGTAGAGCTCATGCTAGATCTTGAGTAAAATCATGAATGTTTTAAATTTTAACTAAGTCCCATTGTCTAGGAGGGTCCTGAAAATTTACGATCGAACCTGTCCGGTACTTGCTTTCCTTACAGAGGGTTTCTCCGAAACAAATGAAATTTTCTGCCCCTTTAAAGAAAAATCTTGTCAGTTTAAAAATATGGTGGTTAGTTTGCGGCATTCTTGCTGAAGGTGGCCATTTTGCTGTCGTGCTTTGCTTTGACTGTCCGCCTTGAACTGGCCAAGAATTGTTGGACTTCTGACTGAACTTCAACCACAGGACCCTGAATGAACTGAATGTTCTACACTCAACCCGTCGTTTTACATTTCTGTCCTTCCAATTTGAATCTCTGTATCTTCCAGAAAATTCCCAAACCATTTTCATTATCACTTTACTTTCATTTTTGCGTCA